ACTCAACTCCTTTAGTTACCAAACACTGAGCTCCAAAGCTCCACGCAGCCAGGGGGCTTATATTCCGATTAAGATTTTTTTTTCCCGAAGTCATTTTTCCATGGCAGTTTCTTGACTCTATTAAGGTAATTCTAAGGGTAGGAATATAGTTCAGTTGGTAGAGAGGCTGCCTAGCAAGCAGGAAGCCCTAGGTTGACTCTCCAGTACTCTGTAAAACTGGGTGTGGTGACCTGTAATCTCCGAACTCAGGAGATAGAGGCTGGAATTAACTGTTCAAGATCAACACTGGCTACACAATGATTCTGGGGCCGGACTGGGATACATGAGACCTCTGAAAAAAGTAGAAGAAGATTAATTCTATAATGGTATCAGGAGACATGTGCTAGGTGCCACTTGACCATACGCAGATCCCAACGACAATCTGTATTCATTTCCAAAATAACGTGGTGAGGAGCATAACACTTTTTAAAAGTGGGAAATTGAGGCTTGATGGGATTTCAGTGGTATGTCCACAGCCACCCAGCTGTCACTGAAGGCAACTGGAGGTCGGCTGAACAAATGACATCTCTAGATGTCTCTACACCAGTGGCTAAGGTCCCTGCCTCTCGAGTTTCAGGACACAATGAACACACACATGAATCAAAACAGCATATGCTCCCATGCTGGTAGATCATTTTGTTTTTAGGTTTCTTTTTTTTTAATGGTTGTGTGTGTGTGTATGTGTGTGTGTGTGTGAGAGAGAGAGAGAGACGTGTGTGCAAGCACCTGCAGAGATCAGCAGAGTGTGTGACTCCCTAGAGCTGAAGTCACAGGGGGCTAGAAGCTACCTGACATGGGTGCTGGGACCCGAACTCAGGACCTCACAGGAGAAGCAAAGGCTCCCACCACTGAGCCATCTCTCCAGCCCCATATGCAACATGTTTTTATGTGTCCATTAAAAAATAAAGTCAGTCGAGCAGTGGTGGAGCACGGCTTTAATCCCAGCACTCATGTTTCAGAACAGCCAGGGTTACACAGTGAAACCCTGTTTTGAAAAACCAAAAGGCAGGGCTGGAGAGATGGCTCAGAGGTTAAGAGAATTGCCTGCTCTTCCAAAGGTCCTGAGTTCAATTCCCAGCAACAACATGGTGGCTCACAACCATCTGTAATGGGGTCTGATGCCCTCTTCTGGCCTACAGGCATACACACAGACAGAATATTGTATACATAATAATAAATAAATATTTAAAAAAAAAAAAGAAAGAAAAACCAAAAGGCAAACAAACAAACAAAAACCCAAAAACATAATCTCCACTTTTTCCTGTTAGTGCTTTCCAAAAGTTTTATCTGTTGTATTCAAATTAACTTTTTTGTTTGTTTGTTTTTTGTTTTTTTGGAGACAGGGTTTCACTGTAGCTTTGAGTTTGTCCCGGAACTCACTCTATAGACCAGACTGGCCTCAAACTCACAGAGATCTGCCTGTTTCTGCCTCCTGAGTGCTGGGATTAAAGTCGTGTGCCACGGCTCCCCAACAAGAAAACAGTGTTCTTAAACCCAAGGACAATTAGGACAGATGGTGAGTCATACCCAGGCTCCGCTCTTGCCCGTAGCTGCATAGCTGCTAGAGTCTAGTTCATTCCTCCACAAAAGAAAAGGAAGCCAAAAAATTCACCCAGGCAGCTGACACTTGGACCCAAAGGAGACAGGAAAAAAAAGGGAAATGGCATGATTGATCTCTGTCAGCCTCTCTCTAGACCGTCGCAGCTTCGAATTAAGTCGTCTTTTTAGAATCACACGACCATTTTAATTTTTAAAAAGATGGAGGTGAGGGAGAATCCCTATATGTATTTTACAAAATAAAACGCCCCGGTGAAATAGGAAGACACAGAATGATCCCATTTCTTCCTGATGAAGATGTACTTCCCTAATGAACGGCCATTGGCCTCCAAAGAGTGGTCCCTAGACTGGCTAATAAAGCCCTGCGAGCATGCACATTACAAAGAGGGAGATGTTGAGCTGCAAGACTCCACAGTCTGCCTTCGTTGCTCGTTAAAATTCTGGACAAAACAGATTTTTATTTATACGAGACATTAAAGAATATTATGACAGTACTCGTACGAAATACGTTCTTCACTGCCACAGATTTTTCTCTGGTCTCAAGTTACAGCTTCTTTCCACACGTCCTGTTTAACACCTCCACGGAATATTTCTCTGGCAACTGTTAGCAGGGAGGGGCAGCCAGAGAGCAGAGAGGAGTTTGAACTGAAACACAAGCTGACACTTCATTAATGAGCCCAGCACCCAGTCCAGACAGAAGGGTACAGTCCGCCCTGTCACCAGGACCCCCACAGAGACACACGGAAGTTCTAAGAAAGGAAGATAAACACAAATAAGGCTTCATTCAAAGTCCCCAATAGTCACCTTGGTCTGGAACCCTGATGGCCAGGCTTAGTTCTGTGGGAAAATTACCGAACAGGGCAAGTCCTTTCCCTACCTATTCCAGTTCCCAACAGAGACACATCTGCACCTCAACAACCTCTGGGCTGAACAACCCCCAAACCACCTAAAAGGACACCCCAAAGGAGTCAGTTAGAGAACACGAGACGGTGTCGCAAAATTGGATGATGTCACAAGGGGAGGAGAATGACCAGAACCCAAGAACCTGGAATTTCACTGAGAATGATTTTGGTTCTGCTCTTCATGGTCTGCTGAACCCAGAGAGCCATGTTCCCTCGCTTCTGACAAGGAGGCAATGCCCAGTGGTACCCCAGCAGGACCACACACTGGCCAGCAGTCCAACTACAGAGGCAGATTGCATAGGTGTACTTTTTTAAATATCAGTATTCAACCCCTCAGTGTTTGAACTGTCTCATTCGTCCAACAAAGGTGATCCATCATCCCCTCTCAAAGTGCCTGGCACACACATTCAATTAATATCATCACTAGTTCTCTCAGAGGACGAGTGTGGGACCCTAACATAAAGAGCAGCTCAGAGGCAGGAAGACTGCAAGTCCACTCAAAAATCATCAGGAATAACAGTGGATCAGACGTTGGCATCCCCATGTCTCAGACCCTTCTAGAAGCTTGTTTATCTCACTACAGGAAACCATGAGAAAAGGAAACAAGCTCAAGGAAGCTAAGTGATTTGGCCAAGTTCACCACAGCAAATGACGGGCACAGCTGGCATCTGAAGCCAGGTGGTCAGGCTTGCGCACCCCCTCCATCCTAATGATGATTAAACCAGTAATGACGGGGACGGTGATGCGCGGCGAGGCCCTCGCCAGGCCACGCTTTCATTTTTCAAAGGAACCTTGGTGAAGGAGCGGATATCACTCCAGGTTCAGAGACGAGGAAACTGAGCCAGGGCTGGGATTCAGACGTGGATAAAGGATAGGAAAGCCCTTCACAAAGTGACGACAGGGTACTGCTCCTAAATCCCTGAATTTGCAAGGCAACTGGCCTTTTCCAACTGCCTGAGAACTCACAAACACCCCAGGCTGGGACATGGAGACAAGCCTGAGCTATTGTCTATCTTGTTTTTGAGTCGAATATTTGAAAAACCAATGCCACTGCACATTAACGTGAAATACGGCCTTCCTGGCTGGAGAAGGACGTCCACCAGTGAGGGGGACGAAAGGCGGAGGGAGTGGGTCTGGAGCCATGTTTCCCCAAGTCAAAGCTTTTTCCAGTTTCCCTAAAGGGAAATCTGATCCAAGTCATGAGTGATCCAATGACTAACCTGGAAATTTGAAGATTCACACTAGGGAACGAACAGAAATCCTTCCAAACCCAGGCAACACTGCGGATTCTGAGATGGGAGAGCGCTCGCCCACTTCATGGAAAGTTAACACACAGCTAAAGCCAACCCCAAAGTTTACGCCACATAAAGGAATCTAAGTTCTTCATTAATTGCTACAATCTGTTTAAGAGTTAGGGGGAAACGCCACCTTCAAATATGTACTCTGCTGACTGAAGGGATGTGGATTCCATCCTTTAAAAAAAGATTCACGCACTCATTCAAGTGGCAGGTTCCAGACCTGAAATCCTCAAACTACCATCCCTTTTTCTTTACCAACGTGCAAAACCATTTTCTCCTCTATATGATCAGAGGCTCTCCACTCTAAGAGCCTCTGCGTGAAGGAATAAACTCAATTTTCCAAGAGCCATTGCCCTTTCTCTTTGTGCACCTAGAGTTAAAAAACTCAGGGCTTTCTCCCGCCCAAGAATGTCAAGGACACAGGATTTACTCAAGTACGAGGGACAGAAAGGTGTGAGGGGAACGGGGAACAGGAGCGCCAGAAGCCTAACGGAGCTGCAAGGCTGCCTCCAGCTGCCGCCTCAGAACCGCAACTGGCAGGCACAGGGGAAACATTGTTAACTCCGCACTTTACAGAAGTGCAAGCCCAGTATCACTCCTGTGGGGCAGCGTTGTTTCAACCTCTTCCGTCCAGGCCCCAATTCTCTGGAACTCAAAAGCTGAGCTGTGTTAAGTTTCCAAAGGCTCTGACTGCTCCAGATGACCTGAAACTGGGGACATCCCTAGCTCCCTCTCCCGGATCTACATACAACTTTAGGCATTCTATGAAAGATTTTTTTTTCCCAAGACAGGATAAGCTGATAACTTAAATTCTGCTCTTCTCCAAATGCTCCAGATTGAAAGGCCTCAATAGAAGGCCCTCCACAGAGAGGCATCAGGAAATGTTCAGCTTTTCCTGATAGGATATCAGCCTTGCTTTAAAATAAATAGAACACTCGAATAAATACTGCGGCAGGCGTGGTCGCGCCCTCCTGAGAAGGAGCGAAGGATCGTATTTGCCCCTCTCCCCAGCTGGATGCTTGGAACCCACAGTGGCATGCTGACATGGAGGTGCAGGGTCACCTCACAGAACTGCTCACCTGGGCTTTTTCACCTCCCTCTGCTGACACCCTGAAGGCACAAGCGCCAGCCTCCAACAGTTGCCAATGCTCGGTTTGAAGCTTGAAAGTCCCGCTAAAATCCCATCCATGGCTCTCCTACTTACCTTGGGCTGCGCACGACGAGGAAATGCAACTTTGGGATCAATCTGGAGAAAATAATTAAAAAAAAAAAAGGAAAAAGTCAGTGAAGTAGTTTGAAGCAGCAGACAAAAACAAATAACCAACCACCTAATTATTAATCACTCATTTCTCAGGCTTAGACCTCAACTTTTAGTAACTTCTTGGGCAATTCAAAAGCTCCTTCAGCTTGGATCCCAACTTTCACCATCCTTCTCCCTATGGGACTCATGAGGTTCACCTTTCTGGAACGTTCCACCACACATTTTATAAGCCAGAACTCATCCACTCTTATTGAGACAAGGGACTTCTCTTCCACAGACCCTGGATATGAAATGGTACCCAGAGCTTAAAGTGCAATGTGGGGGGGGGGGGGGCAGAAGATGGATACAATGTTATCTTAAGGGGGAAAAAAAAGAAAAAGCCCTCAAAATGAATGCTCCTCCAGCTATAAGTAAATGGGTGAATATTTCTTCTCCCTGGCAATTAAAAAAAATGAAAATCAACAATATTCAACACAGTGTTCACCTCAGATTAACTCACTACATTTGCAAAATGAAGTTACTCAGGGTGATCCAAAAGATCTTTTGCAGCCAGTTATGGTGGCTCACATCTGAGAGCCCTACACTTGAGAAGCCGAGGGAGGAGGAGCAATGAGGGTGGAAGCCCCTCTGACAGCTGGGTTCTAGTGAACTCTCAAAAACATCATTTGCATTTGCCTTGTTGGTATATCTTAAAGAAAGCAGATATCAATTACTTATTTCTTTTAATAAATGTAATAAAAGAGGAAAAGCAAGGTTTATGTGTAAATTAAACCCACATGGATTAAAAACAAAAAACAAAAACCACAGGCATGAAACTAGATGAACAATCCAAAGTCCAAACTAGAAAGGCCATTGCAGGGAGGGTTAAAAAGAAAACGACTGGACAGAAGTGGAAATCTAATATGCAGTAATTCGGGTATTCCCCCAATCCACCTCCACCCCAGTGGAAAAAGCTCCCCATTCTACGTGAGCAGCCGGCTTGCAGAGCACATGATTCTCAATCAGTGACGAGCTTCACAATTCCCACAGAAGCATTTGAGTCTAACAGCTGATGTGAGGAGAAAAAAAGTTACTGCCTAGATAAAAACAGCAAAGAATTCAAAAAGAAAAAGAGAGGGAAAAATCCCATCACTGGTTCCCATTAGATTTCTAACCGCGACAGATCTTTTGAGTATAGTGCAACATGGAAAATGACATGGGTATTGCTACAAGTTATTTATTTATGAGCTCTGGCTTTCGTGTTATAAATTTCCCCCTTTAAAAAGTAAATCTGAACCTCATGTTGGTTCTGTCACTTAAGAAAATAATCATCACACTTTGGGAAAAACTGCAGGGGTGGAGAGGCTCACACACAATCTCTCCCCCACCCCAGATAATCCCTGGGTCCCTTAGAGCCACGGACTGTAAGGCATACAAAGACAAAAATCACTTTTATTGAGGTAGTTTAAAGACCTAAACATCTACCTTGCGCTTTTCCCTTTTAAGCACCACCTGAGAAATGAGAGATTACTTTTCCAAAGCTAAAACAGATCACAATCTCGGGTCTAGGAAACTATCCTTTCGAAAGATTAATATGACTGCGTCTACAGGTGTGCCCAGCACGGACTAGAGTTTCTCTACAAAAGAAATACAACAGGTGTGGATTTCCATTCTGGCGCCCAAACTGAGACGGATGCTCGTCTTTGTTCACTCCTGAGGCTTGGGAGATCGGACCGACACACAGGTGCAGTGAGAGCCACCTTGTTTGTGTGGGAAAAGATGACGTAGCGTCCAGGAAAGGGCAGGGAGCTGGGGTGAGGAACGTACAAAGAAGAAAAAGAAGTGCTAAGATTTAAAAAAAAATGTAAAATTACAAAACCAAAAGCCAATTGGGGACTGCACTGTATGTGTGTGGTGGTGAAGTGAGCATGTCACACTGAGAGCAACGTACTCCCGTGTGCAAAGTTTTCCCACACTGAGATCTCCAAGGCCTAGGAGGCGTCAAGGCAAGAAGGCAAATCCCAACCGTTTGCACATCCCAATCAACTATTTAAAAAAAAAAAAAAAAAAGAAAAGAAAACTACCTAAAATTAAAACATTAGTTACTTAGGTACAGCGCTAGTACTGGCTCTAGGGTCCTCTAGAAAACACTAGGGCACTATTTTGGATGCGAATGGCCTTTACCTAAACAAAGCTTTTAAGGTAACAGTAAACAAGATCCTCGTTTCCATGTCAATAAACCAACCGCTTCTGCCTCCTGCACTGAACGTTGAAACAAAGTCAAAAGCTAGGTTATACTAAGTAACATCAACCAAAATATGTCTACAAAACAAGTTAGAGTAGAAAAGCCCAAGGCCCAGCAAGGGATACAGAGGGATACTGGGGAATCTCACTAGCCAGCACCCACTAAAACCAAACTCCAGTTCTCCCACCCAGGCAAAAGGAGTGCACAAGAAATGACAAATCCGCTTTGAATGTTTCCTGTGAAATCTTCCTAGCTCCGTGATGTGGCTAGCGAAGAATTAAAGGAGGAAAAAATAAATTGTTCAGATGTTCCTTATCACCTTACCAGGGATCATTCTTGATATTAAATGATCTGACAGTACAAACAGGCTGGGCTTGCAAGCTCTGACAAGTCTAGGACAATTAATAAAGTGACTTCAGTGTGCAAGGCCTTTTCATGGGGGGTAAGGGCAACACCTGACCTCTTTGATCATAAAAAGAGGGGGAGTTTGCAAAATCAATTCAAGTGCACCAAGGGTTGACCCGTTGACCCTTGTGCTTCTTCTCCTCCACTCAGTGTTAAAAGACCAGAGAGCTTGGAAGATCCTAGAATTCTGCTGACTTTACAGAAGAGGAGAGTAAGGGTCTAGTTTTACAGTGGGCAGCTAACTCACCTCCCATGAGCTCACAATAAAACGGGAGCATTCTGGGCAGCCCAAAGACACATCCCAAATATCACCTTGAGGCCTCTGCCTTAAGCAGTGGGAAAATCCTAATGAAATTCTGGTGAGCATACAGGGAACTCGGAGGGATGGCAGGAAGCCAGCCGGGGGCCAAGCAAACCACTAAGAACTCCCCAGCCTCCTCCATCTTTACAGTTATTATTCCAGACTGAGATTTTCCCCGTATTCTCTGACCTCCACCTAGGAACTTTCACCTCTAAACTCTGGATTTTAAAAACTTCTAATGTTTTAAAAGTATCCATACACAAATCAAAGGATGTGAAGGGGCCGGAGGGGCGGGGGACCAGGAAGCAAGGAGGCAATCACTTGGAAACCCAGGCCTGATCAGCCTTCAACTCAACACCATCTGAAGAAATCCCACTGGATGCGGGAATTGGTTCTGTCAGTATCTCCCTTCCCTTCTCCAACCACCTCTCAAATCACTTGGAGCCCCAGAGAAACCTGTTGCCTGGACCTAAGATGGACACCCCCTTCCCTCATCCCCATCCCTGCCCCCTCCACCAGGAAGCAGGCTGTGCCTTCCTTCTACAAGCCGAACCCAATGCCACTGGCTGTGTGCTCTGCTGACAAAGAAAGTTCCATTTGCTCTCCGATGGAGTTTCTTTGCAAGGTCCCTTGGCGGGAGGCTACCCTCTCAGGGAACGGACACCCCCTCCCCCCCAGCCTCGGCCTGGCAACGTCTGAAGCTGCAGCGGGACAGACTACAAAAGAAACCCCTCCCCAAAATCAGCCACCGCTGCAAACTTCTGAGCTAACTCGCTAGCCGTTTAAAAGTACTCAGTTCTAGCATAGAAGCAAAAGAAGGCGCTGTCCCTTTAAACAGGGCTGTCAATGCCCAGACCGGCACCAAAAAGGGGCAAACAACAACAACAACAAAGCAACCTACCGTCTTGGAATCTAACTCATGGTGGGGCTGGCCTAATACTTTATCTACACTTGCTGGGTCTGCGAAGGTGACGAAACCGAAGCCTCTGGAAGGAGACAAAGAGGGAAAAAAAACAAACAAAATGTGACACCACTGAAAGCAACAAGGAGACCCTATATGCAGACTGGGGTGCAAAAGTTGCCCCCATACAACCCCATCCCCACCAGCTCCCTCTGTTCTCCTCTAGCCCACAGCCCTCTGCCTTGCGAGGGAAAAAATACCAAGGTTAGTGGGGGAAGCGGGAGGGGGGGGCAGGGCGACTAGAGGTAACTTGGAACACGCTGGTGCCTCCAGTCCGGCCGCCTCAGTTTCCTCTCCTCCCCTTTCTTACGGCTTTGTTTTATGCCAAAGGAAATCGGGCAGTAAGATATTTATCCACCTCCTAAAGAGAGGACTTCTGAGTTTGGGAGTGGGAAGAAGGCATACACTCAAAATTTTAAATTATAAAAAAAAAAAACTGTGGAAAGTGAATGAAGCTGAATGTCATTTTAAACAAGAGAACAAGAAGCGACAGGAAAATGACTTCAAGCGGGAGAGATGGGCGGCTCTGAATCCAGAGTTCGGTTCTAATTAACAATAACCTTTGGGGTTATGGGGGGGGGTAACGTTTCAGCCCAGCCACGCGCCTGAGCCCCATTCTAAATCCGCTTAGCTACTTCCGAAGCCACCTCCAAAAATAAAACTAAAACTTTGTTCTAAAATAAAGACAAAATCCAGAAGGAAATGCGTTACCTGGAGCGTTTCGTAGTGGGATCTCTCATGACCATACATTCTCTAATTTCTCCAAATTTGCTAAAATAGTCTCTAAGGCTATCTGTAGAGAGAGAAAGAGAGAGATGGGGGGTGGGAGGTGTGGAGTGGGAAAAAAAAAGCAATGCAAATTTTGATCAAGGACAAAAAGCAAAAGTAGTTTTCTGTTGTTGTTCTGTTTTTGTTTTTGCAATATTTTTGCACACGCGGGGGAAATTCGGCAACAGAGGTCGCGTAGAGGGCTCGGAAAGGATTTGCTATTTAAAAAAATAACCTTGCACAGGAGAAGTGGGGAGCCAATGGCGGGGAGGGGGGGCTCTTACACTGGGATAACAAAGAGCAATAAAGAAGCCAAGAAGGGGGGGACCCAGGCGTCCCCCCCTCACTCCCTTACCTGGTGAGGTCTGCCAGCTCAGTCCACCGATAAACATTTTACTAGAGGGAGAAAACATAACCGAAGTGAGCACCGATGTCAGATCGGCCATTTTGACGTGTAACTTACAAAAGCTAAAAGGAAAGCTGGGGGGGAGCGGGCGAGCGCGAGCCGGGAGGTGGGTTGGGGGAGAAGGTGGCCGCCCCACGCCACCCCACGGTATGCGAGTGCCCCAGGGGTGCGCGCGGGGACGCGGGGGGCGCGCGGATGCCCCGCTCCGCACCGTCGCCCGCACAGCCCCGAGCGAGCCCGCGGCGGCGCGGTGGGCAGCGGCTGGAAACTTACCCGGGGTCGTGCTGGGAGTCGTTGGCGCTGCCCGAGGTGCCTGGGCTCCCATTTGCCTCCATAGCGGAGCCCCCCCGCCCCCCCACCCCCGACACACCGAGCCCCACAGCGAAGCGGAGCGCAGCGCCGGCCGGCTCCGAGCCCCAGATCTCCGTCCCTCCTCCCCCGCCTCCTCCCCCCGCCCGGCGGCTGCGAAGCTCCGCGAGCGCCGAGCCGGGCCAGCGGCGAGAGCCCGTCACACGTGGGCTCGGCTCAGCTCAGCCCCGCCGCCTCGCACACCCCCCGTCCCCGCCCCCCCGGCCCATCCCCACCTCTCCCCCTCCTCCTCCCCACCCCCATCTCCTCCTCCTCCCCCTCCTCCGTGCGCACGAGGGGCGGAGTTCTAGAACGTCGTGTAACCAATGCGGTGACGTCACGCACCCCGTTCGGTTCCCCCGCCTGTTCGCGCGCGCACACTCGGCCCCCCGTGGCAGCGGGACCCACCGGGGGCGGCGCGCGAGCCCCAAGACTCGAGGAGGGGGCCCACGTCAGCCGGGCGGGGAGCCGGGAAGTGCACCCCGAGTCGGCTCAGATCACATGGGCTGGGTGTGGGGGAGGGGGAGGAGCGGGGAGCTCTGCCCGGGCTGCTCGCCGGGCGGGGAGGCGGCAGCGCCCCGGACCCCCATAGTTTGCGCTACCCATTCAAGTTCTTGGGCCCCTGCGCCCGATGCCGAGGTAGCACCCGCCGCCTGCCCTGCCTCTGTGCCCCGGTTTCCAGCCACCTCGCGGAAATTTAGGTCAAGGACGCCGGGAGCACACCCACACCCAGCGCTCCCGGGGCGGTCCCCGAGACCCCGGGAATCGGGGAGGCTTCGGGATGGAGGAGACCCTCCCGCACAAACACCAGCCACAAGTTTTCATTTTCCCTTCGCGCGGCAAGTTCTCTGGCTCCCGCTCCACACCGGCACGTCCTGCACGGCTCCCCGCCCTTCCCCGGCCGAGGTACGGAGCCGTGCCCGCGAAGGTTATTTTGGAACTTTAAGAAACAGGCGCGATACCAGGGGGCGAGAAAGCACCCAAGACAGGGTTTGAGCGTCACTCAAACCACGACTTAAAAATATAATAAAGTGGGATTTTAGCGGTCAAGGTCAAATGATTGGAGTTCAAAGCAAATGTTCGTGGAGAATGTAGTAGTTTGGGAGCGTCTCGAGGGTGGCTAAAATGGGTGGTTTTTTTAGAAAAAAAAACTCGATTATCCGTCAGTTAGCTATTTTATTTATTATGTTTAAAGTTACCCGGGGTTCCTATGTAGAGAGTAAAAGTGCGTCAGAGTGAAAGGGCCCCGGGGGAAGTCTTTGAGGTAACAAAGCGTCCCCTTCCCCCCCCCCCCTTTTTCGGAGCCAGAAGGTGCCTCACGGATCCTGGCACGCAGTAGGTGTTTAGTAAAAGCTCCCTTCCTCCCCTGGCGAAGTGTAAACTCCAAAAGGATGTTTGTAGCTTCCCAGAGGCACTGCACACTTCGGATTCCAGGCTTTCCAGATTCAGGCTGCATTCAATTTATGGGGTATTTAAAACAGTACGGATACAATTATCCTTATTGTTTTAAATTATTACAATAAACCAAGTTAATACGGCATGAGAGGCAACATAAAGTTGTGGTTCATCAAATACCCGGATTAATGTTAAGCATGCATTGATGCCCAATTAACACTTTTCCATTAATTTTCATAGAATTAGGAGACAATGGAATACACTCAGCACTAAAACTGTGCCGTATCCACTGTGGGTTTTGGAACGTTTGGAAAATCTCAACACCAGCCAAAGCCTTGAGTGATCGGACTTTCAATCGCTCTCTTCCCTAAACTGGGAAAACGCCTCTGACAGGATTGATGGGGTAGGGTGGGGCATTTGAAGTGAACGGTGCAAAAGTACCCTTTTTAATTGCAAACTTACATAGATCGTGTTTATTATGAATTATTACTGAATATAATATTTAAAAGGCCCTTCATAAGACTTCAAACCACAAACCATACCGTTTCCCAACACTCCAACCAAACTGAATTCTTAAATTATTTAAACACTGTGGACCCACGTGTTAAAGAGCCGCGTGTTATTATGGTAATTGTTTATTGCGATTATTCTCAATAACAAAATACAGGCAACACAGCTAATTGGATTATATTTTGAATTTTTACAACAGAACCACAGACTATCAGAGCTAGAAAGGCCTTTCCTTATCCAGCCTCTTCCTTGAATATGGGAGTCCCAAAGGTGCCGAGCCACATGGCAGGCTGTATTCCCGCCCCAACCAGTTAATCCCCAAGAGGGGCTCTGGCCAAGGGCCAAGGTTCAGTGCCCTTTATCTCTAGCCTGAATATTCGAGTTGTCCCTCACTAGGCAGAAGTGGGTAGCTGCCTTCCTGATGTAGACTTGCACAAACTGTTAAGTAGTGGACTGAGTGAAAACCTGAGGGGTTTCCTAGCCCTGCAGAGGCCAAACCAGAAACTGCTAAAGGATTTAAGGTGGGGTGGGGCTCCATCCCTCTATCGCTCCATTGTTTATGCTTAGTTTGGAGTTGTTGGAGACAGTCTAGCTGTGCAAGAACCCAGGCTGGCCTTGAACTCTGGAGCCCTTACCCACCCACCCCCTCACCACCACCACCAAGTTTTATTTTCCCATGGCAGATTATTTGGTTTTGTTGAGATGGTGTGACTGAGGCTGATGGCAAACTCCCCCAGATTGCAGAGGCTGGCCTTGAACATGGGATCTTTTTGCCTCTACTGCTGGGATTATAGGTGTATCCCGCCATGCCAGGTTTATGCAGTGGTAGGGATCAAACCCAGGGCTTGGAGCTTGGTAGGGAGACAATCTGCCCAGAGAGCCACAGGGCCAACCTCCTGCTGGTCTTTTGTTTTTGTTTGTTGTTTTTATCCCCAGGTAGTAACATTTTGGTTACAGACCTTCCCTTGCTGTGTGATTCTGAACTCTGACGGTTGTACAGATTGTATGACGCCAACCAGGATAAACACGCAGACATGCTTTATTGTCCCCAAGCCCCTCTCCTGCTGCCCTTTGCGGTAGGGTATTTATTTGTAAGAGATTCTGTATTTCTTCCCTAGCTCACTCACTCAGGGTCCCAGTGGGGATGCATTTATATAACCCACTGCCTTGAGATCTCTACCGCTACACAGCCCCTTCCTGAGCCCATCCCCACATGTCCCATGTTCGCTCTGCCCATTCCACACTCTCCTGGGTTCTCTGGTCCCTGGCCACCTTTCCTCTTTTATCTCTTGCCCTCTCTGTTTCTCTGCCTTTCCTTGAAATATTGGTGTGCTTCTCCAGCCCCATCCTCTCTTCCAGCTCCCTCCTCCCCAGGTGACCTTCTGAGCAAGATGGGTTTCAACCCCACCTGCATGCCCATAGGATGCTGCTCCACATCTCCGGTCTTAACCTCGCCAGAGGGCTCCAGTCTCTGCTCAGGATCGTCTTTATACATCTCCCTTACCCTTCCTGACGGTATTCCAGATGCAACGCGGCCAGTGCCACATCCACACTGTTCTCCCCCAAGTCCGAACCTCTTTTTGGAATCCTTGTCGATGAATATACTCAGCCAGCCTGGAGACAGCATGCTTGAACTCTGACCTTCCCATGTGCAGCTCACCCAGGAGTCTGTGGAATTCACCTCGTAAAGAGCACTCAAATCAATCTTTTTTTTTTTAACGTCCATGGTATGTGTGTGCGTGTGTGGTCAGAGGACAACGTTCAGGAGTCTGTTCTTTCTTTCTCCTATGTTCCAGAGGTTGAGCTCAGGTGTGAGATCAGGCCTGCTAAGCAGGAACTTCTGCTCAGTGAACCATCTCACTGGCTCATCAAAGCCACTTTCTCTTATACTGAACATCATATGTCTCGCACCCGACGCCCTAGAACAGCCTCCTACAGCTGCCCACAAGGACTCTTGGTCCATTTATATGCCTGGAAAGCTTTCCCATGCTTCTCTGACCAGGTTAAATGTCTCTTGATAGACACTTAACCCAGCAGAAGGTCCTCTGTGTACCTTTCCCTGTGTGATCATTTTTGCTTTATCGCCCATCTCGGCCAGGCCACGAGCGCCCATCTATTTTTGCTCTCCTTGTACCAGTACAGTACCTGCTAGTTCATGGTTGACAATAAATAATTTTGGTAGGGGACAGATTGATAAATGAGTGGTTATTGCGGTCCAGTTTCACCCTTGCACCTTTTTCGTGGGTTTGTGTGGTTGTATTCAGAAGTCAAATTGGCTGTAATCTCTTCTAATGCTTTTGTCTATTTATACTGGCTTCCAAAAATTGTAAATGTTGCACGCACGCGCGCACACACACACACACACACACACACACACACACACACACTTTCCAGAACAGTGTGTTACAGATGGTACACATCTATAATCTCTTACTTGGGAGGCAGAGGCAGGAGGATCACTGCAAGTTCAGGGTTAGTCTTGTCTGCATAGTAAGTCCTAGAGCTGCCAAGAATACATAAGAGCCTGGCTCAAACTAACAAGAAAAAGGTGATACTTACGTGTTCTTAAACATTTTCTGGTAAACTTCTGGGTCTGGGATAGCCATTTCATAAGTTGTTTTTTAACAGTGAACTCTATTTCTTTATGATTATGAATTTCTTCAGATTTTTTATTTTTCTGTATTATTCAAGGAAATTATCCAATCCACCTGTTGTTTGATTGGTTTGGTTTTTGTTTGATTGGCTTTGGCTTTTTTGTTTGTTTTATTTTTTCAAGACAGGGTTTCTCCTTAGCTTTTGGTTCCTGTCCTGGAGCTAGCTCTTCTAGACCAGGCTGGCCTAGAACTCACAGAGATTCGCCTGTCTCTGCCTCCTAAGTGCTAGGATTAAAGGCTTCTACTACCCACCACCCAGCTTTGGCTTTGGTTTTTCAAGAGGGGTTTCTCTGTGTAGCCCTGGCTGTCCTGGAACTTACTCAGTAGACCAGGCTGGCCTTAAATTCCAAAATCTTTCTGCTTCTGCACACGCGCGTGCCCACAAACACACACACACACACACACACAGGGATTAAAGAGGCATGTGCTACCATACTCTGCTGCCATCTAGGTTTTCAAATGTACTAACAAAATGCAGCCGACAGCTTTCTTGTAATGTACTTTAAAGTCAGTGGTTCTATAATGCTCACCGGCTTCGTTCCAAATATATTCTACACATAGAATCCCTGTCTAGATCAGCTGGGCCAGAGGTCTGTGTGATGTTTGGAGGGATTTGGTCTGGTTTCGTTTTATCTGTAGAGCTGGGGTCAAACCTGGGACCGTGGTATGTTCTTCCAAGGTCTGTGAGGGGAGAGGTAAGTTGTTATGTATTTATTTGTTTGTTTAGTTTTTGGTGTGTGTGTGTGTGTGTGTGTGTGTGTGTGTTATAAACAGTTGTGAATGCCTGTGAGTAGTAGGTACCAAACCCAGGCCTCTCTGAAAGAGCAGTTCTTGCTTTTAACAGCAGCCCTCCCCCCAGCCTTGTCTGAGTTTTCATTATATGATGTTGTTGTTGTTTTTAATGTGCGTTAGTGTTTTGCCACGGGTTTCAAGTCCCCTGGAACTGGAGTTACAGGCAACTGTGAGCTGCCCATGTGGGTGCTGGGCCTTGAACCCGGGTCCAGTCTGAGTGTTTTTTAACTGGAGTTTCCTTTCTACAACTGTTTTTTAAGAAATCATGTTTTAGGTTTTTGTTTTGGTTTGTTTTTCTTTCTTTTTTATAACACATTTTTTTTCTGTTTCATTATTTTTTGTTCTGATATATCTTATTTTCTTACCACTTAAGAGTAAGAATATTATGTAGTATTATATCTTCCTTTAAAATGTCACTATGTTGGCCTCCCAAGTGCTGAGGTTATATGTGTAACTACTGAACGTCATTCCGTTCTTTTTGTTCTCCAATGTATGCTGTTACTTTTCATTGCCCCCTTCTTTTTTTTTTTTTTCTCCTACTGCTGAGTATTGAACACAAAGCCTCATGCATACTTGGCAAATTCTCTACCACTCTGCTACATTCCCAACCTCTGGTGGCCTTTCTTAGCTTCATGATGGCATAGTTAGTCTGTCTTAACTTTGCTCAGGTTGGTTTTTCTGAGACAGGGTCTCCTATCACCCAAGTACTGGGGTTATAGCCATGTGACACAATGTTTAACCTAGTTGATTATTTCAGACTTCCGTTTCATGATTTATAAGGTTGCAAACTTCACTCTAGGTACCACTGACACTGCATTCCCCAAGATGCACAGACTTTTAACTGATCATCTAGTTAACAATAATGAGAATTTCTAAAAATGAAAAGTCTTCCAAATGTTATTAATGTCTAACCAACCGAATTAGGATTTTTTAAAAGGCAGATTCTGTGTGAATCGGAAACTTTGTGACTTACAGAAGCTTACATTTGCTACATGCTCAGTGTTTTATAAATATTTTGTATATTTTTGGAACATGTATATCACTTATTCTTAAGTAATTTTCCGTATGGACCCGATCAGATCAAACTTGCTAATTACATTTAGATTTTCTGTAACCCTGCTAGTGCTTTATTTATTTGATATGTCACTTTTTAAAGGGGCACATGAAAAGTTCTCTATGATAGAGGTCTGGCAAGATGGCTGAGTGGGTAAAGGCCTTGTTGCCAAGGGAGGGAAGAGATCTGACTCCTGCAAGTTGTCGTCTGACCTCCACATGTCTACTGTGATGCTCACACATGAAGCAATATAACATACAACATAAATAATTTTAAAGCTTTAACTATTTTATATGACCAGATTTGCCAGTTTCTCATAAATTTCTCTAAATTTTCTGTCTATATTTTAAATGTATGCTAATAGAAGTAGCAAAAAGAACTGTCAAAATCCCCACTGTAGTTACGCTTTTTTTTTTTTTTTGTGGGGAGAGGGTTGGTTTTTTGAAGTAGGATTTCTCAGTGTATCAGTCCTGGCTGCCATGGAACTCACTTTGTAGACCAGGCTGGCCTCGAACTCACTGAGATCCGTCTGCCTCTGCCTCCCAAGTGCTAGAATTACAGGCATGAGTCAACCACCACCTGGCCTAGTTACTCATTTTTCTATCTTTCTTCATCTTACTTTTGCCTTGTGTATTTTTTTAAAGGTCTGTATTTGTATGTGTGTATATGTGTGTAAGCATGGTTGTGCATGTGCTGTGTGAGACTAAAAGAGGGTGTCAGGTCCCTGGGAGCTGGAATGACAGAAAGTTGTGCTCCACCCTGCATGCATGGGTGCTGCCAACCAATTCAGGTCCTCTACAAAAGCAGCAAATGCTCTTAATCCAGAACCATCTGTCCCTGAGTGCTGGCATTACAGATGTGTAACACCATGCCTGGCATATGGGGTGCTGGGGATGGAACCCGGAGTTCTGTGCACAACAGGCAAGCATTTTACCAAGCACCCGTGTTCCTTGTCATTTGAAATCTACCTGGTTTTTATACCCCATATATATATGTATATGTATATATATGTATATATTTAAATTTTCAAATTTTTATTTTGTGGATATGATTGGTTTTGGCTACAATGTATATGTGTACCATGTGTATGACTGGTGCCCGTAGAATCAGAAGAGCATATCAGACTCCCTACAACTGAAATTACAGATGGTTGTAAACCACCATGTCAGTGCTGGGAACCAAGCCCCCATCCTCTGCAAGAGCAGCAAGTGCCCTTAACCACTGAGCCATCTCCCCAGCCCCTAGTGTTTACTGGTACTAGTATGTGTTGGAGTGATTTGTTACACAGCCCAGATAACTAATACAAAGATCCTTCAAGATGCACTGCATACAGCTGCGTAGTGTATAGGTTTGCAACAGGATTCCTATGCTAACATTTGTAGAATGCTTTAGTTGGACCCCCGAGCAAATGAACTGGATATTAGCTACAGAACAGCAATCGTGTATTATTAATGTGATCAGCTTGCAACACATTTCATGTTCAATTAACTGAAATGCTCTTTCAAGAGCATGCCTTGGCTCATCTTCTTATCCCTACTGCATACTCAGAAAAGGTCACTGTCAAGACAGAAAAGTATATATGTGATTTAAATGTCTTGACTCAGTTGCTAACAACCACGAGCGTGTTTTCAAATTGGAAAAGCAAGATTAATTTCAACTTGCTCTTTTTCGCACAATGCTCTGTTTACTTTCTGCTATTGCGTTTCTCTGCCATGCTGGGCGCCTTGCTTATTAAAGACGTCTGCTCATTTCTCCGCCTTCCAGACTCTCACAAGCCTTCACTTTTCAAAACGGACACGCCAGACTTTGCACCCAAAATAAAAGTGACCTGTATTTTTACTAGAAAACATTTAGTGAAATGAGTTTTTATTCTTGAAAAATTCACCAAGTATGAATTCCCTGTCGAAAAGTAATGGGGCCTTTGTATTTTCTTTAAGTAAATAAATAGTTTCGTTCCTCAGGAACCATGGCGACCAAGTCCAGGGCTGGTCTGTGTTCCTCTAATAGAAAATGAGCGTGTGTACGGAGTTCCTAAGTTGGCGCTTCCTCTGGCGCTGTGTAATAAGGGAAAGCCACTGGGCCTAGGAAATAACTGGGGATGAGGACCGGGGATGGCGGAGACAACAGAAAACTCAAAAAGGCGAAGGATGTGAGATAAAGCAAAATGAATGATTTTTAAACACTCTTACTGATCTGACACCTTTGTATATAATTATTTTCTTCTAACATTGTATGATATGCTTAGATATGCAAGACTATTTTAACTTCAATGAGAAGAAAAATGTTTTGTTGTTTTTGTTTTTGTTTTCCAGACTGGGGAAGAGAATACAAAAGCTTTGCTGAAGGGAAGAAAAAAAAACCTAAAATAGATTTTATCCAACAATTTTCTTTCTTTCATTCTTTTTTCCTTTCCATGTTCAGGTTAGACAGAGGTAGAAATCCCATGTTCTGGTGAAACGTTTTACTCCCTTTCATTCCGCTCGGTTCTCCTTCCTTGTCTGCAGTTTAAAATGAGAGCATCCAGCCCAGGCGCACCAGCTCGGCTACTCAGGAGCCAGCAAGACTTACAGAATCAGCCCAGCAGACAGGACCTTGGGGCGGGGGAGCCTTGTAAAACAGGCACCTTTGGGGCTTCAAGAGGAGGGCTGGGAGTTTGACATTGGCCCCTTCCAGCTACAGTGCAAAACGGGCTCCCAGACTATGGTAGGTATAAGAATTAAACAGGAAGTTTCCATTCAGAGAGAGAGAGAGAGAGAGAGAGAGAGAGAGAGAGAGAGAGAGAGAGAGGAAAGAGGAAAAGGAAGGAAGGAAGGAAGGAAGGAAGGAAGGAAGGAAGGAAGGAAGGAAGGAAGGAAGGA